AAAGTACTACGGTTGTCCACACTGTTACGGGAATACCTCTATATGAATGTGAAATTAAATGATCTGGCTTCTTTGATCTTTTTGTTATTGACATGTGTCTGTAGGAACTCCGAAAATAAGCAGAGGTCGGCAAGGAAAGGCGCACAGTTCGTTCCCATAGAAATGCCGACAATTTGTTGAAAAAGGTACCTCCAAATTCAACAAATATGTTGTAAAGAAGAAACTCCAGCATACTGATCACTTGTTCTTCGGTGTAGCATGTTTTACCTGTTTGTTCACTTTTAACAAATATGCCGTATGGTATTCCAAAGCAATAAATTTATAACGTATGCTACCATTTTATATTGAAAAGCAATGTGGACTATTTCTTATAGACGATTTTTCAATTTCACATGGAGAATGGTGGTTAAAAGAATTGAAAAATCAAAGGTTTTGATAGAATTAATTTCAGAGAAAGATCGAGATTTAAAATAATAAAGAAGTTCTTTTAGAATCCACATATGGTTGATACCACTACGCGAGTAACCAGTTTCACGGTATTTCTGAAGACCTTCTTTCACTGTTGACAGATTTTTTGTCAATCTAATGGACAATTCCTTTGTAGAACATGCAGATGAGCCGACAATAAACCGTTGTTTGTAAGGAATTTTGTGAAGCTAAGGTATCAAATACAAACAAGGTGAGTCTTCAGATTTGCTGGTCATTGTAATGTTCATTGAAGTCATGAATGACTTATAATTCGCAAAAATCTCGTCCTTGTCAAATGCTATGCTTTTATATGTGGGATTACCTGAGTGCTCATTTATTCTTAATTATTTTACAAGACACTCGTAGTAGTACGATTTACATATAAAATCAATATTATTTGAAGCTTTGTCCGCAGGAACAACAACATATTTATCATAAAGAGATGACAGACATGTCATAGCTTCTTTGTCTCTGTATACGGACTTTGCTCGATCATTCACACAGTTTTTCAACTTTTGGATTTGACGTTTTATCAGAAATCTGTTTGCTTTAACCCATTCTGACTAAGTGTCCAGTTCAACTTCTCCTCGTTAAGCCCATGCTCTTGCGTAGTCCTCAATGGAATCCATAATTATTTTGAAGATATGGTTCTAATTGATGTGTTGGGGTTCTCTGAACATAGGACCATGAGAAAACAACACTATATAATTTTATACGTCCGAAGTGCTTTTCTGGAGCTACCTTCACTATAGGAACTCCGAGTATTTGAAAGTCAAGGATGTATCAGAACAGTTGAAAAGCTATATGACCAAGAATGACCTAAAATAACCATGGCATGTTATAGTTTAATTACGTCTTTTTGATGGTCTTTTTCATTTGGTCATAACTTTTCGATTCTCTAAACAACACAATCTTATAGAAAGAGAAGTTTTCTTATTTAATCAAAAGGTCCTTTGAAAAATATGATTGCAAATTTATTTGCTTCAACTCCTATTAAGGTTTCTTCTGTAATGAAAAAGGTAAATATGCTAGATACACTTACTGGAAATGTGATGAGATTATAACAGCTAGTAATTTTCTCCTTGACAACATTTATTGCACGTTTCAATAGAAAGTGTTATCAACAGCTTGTAGGTATTCCTATGGACATTAGTTGCGCCCTTTAATATCAGATTTATTCCTGTGTCGTTATTAGAGGCAACAGTAGATTCCGATGTTCAAGTCTTAATCCATTACAAATCGAGTTTAAAAATTAAAACAGAGGGAATCGCACGTACTCCAAAATGAGCGATACCTCGTGCACCCGCTATACGAATCAAGACTCAAGTAAAAATGTCACAATCGGGAAATAGTCACAATCGGTAAACTTACAAATCAGACGACTATTCATGTATTTAAAAACTGCTACACAAGTAGCACGTGAGTTGAGACACAGGCACATCTTATCGATCAATCAATTCTTGATGATGACCGTAAAACTTGTGTAGTGCCTACTTCATTTGATTTTCCTCTTAACTCTGCTGGAGCAGATTTTGTGTCATAACGAATCGAATTGATTAAGATGATATGTTGAATGACAGGACATCATCAATTTATCTGTAAGTGAAATCAAAAATTTGCAGGATGTACAGAAGTACAAAAACAAGTTGTCCAGTAAGGTACACAATTAGTACCAATCGGAATATCGACTGTCTTTTGAAATATCAATCTACCAACCTTTACATATATGTTGTCGATAAAAAAATAAAGCATTTTTATGATATATCATCATTGGTGTATTTGCTATTTGAATAATATAAAAATAAGAAGATGTGGTATGATTGCCAATGAGACAACTCTCCACAAGAGACCAAATGACACAGAAATTAACAACTATAGGTCACCGTATGGCCTTTAACAATGAGTAAAACCCATACCGCATAGTCAGCTATAAAAGGCTCCGAAATGACAAATGTACAAGAATTCAAACGAGAAAACTATCGGCCTGATTTATGTACAAAATAATGAACGAAAAACAAATATGATATACAGCAACACACGACAACTACTGAATTACAGGCTCCTGACTTGGAACAGTCACATACAGAATGTGGTGGGGTTAAACTAGTTTGAAGGCGCGTCAACCCTCCCACTAACCTGGGACAGTTGTGTAACAGTACAACATAAGAACAAACTATAAAAATCAGCTTAACTCATCAGATCGATACAAAGCAGAAATACATCTAACAAAAACACAGAATGGACGTGGCAGGGTACTTATACATCCCCACAACAAAAAGACACTAGGTACATATCTGAGAGTACTCGCAGTTACTGACAGGTAGTTCAAAGCCAATAACAACTAATAATAAAAAACATGCATCTAAGACTAAAATATCAATCAGTACACATCCAACATCCAATGGATTTAGTGTAAAGACGTCATTAAGAGCCAGAGAAAAACATGACCTTATGCAATGCCAAGATACAGGTATCGACAGATTGTATAGCCATGAATGTGCATATGTATATAAACAAAATATTTAGTTTGATTTTAATTTACTGACAACAAAATCAATATTTATACCAATAAAAACATTATTCAAATATCTAATTATAGTATTGAATTGGTAACCTTTAAGAATAAGTTTATTCAAAGGATCGATAAGTTTACCGTATCTAAATTTCCGGCCTCGGTAAACAACATCTCCGTAAAAACTAAATTGTGCTATCCCGTTAAAAATAAGTTTCCTACAGGTTCAACCAAACTTCCAAACCAAATCTTTATATCTATGGAAGAATTTAGTAAAGGGTTTTTAGTAATTTGTGGTTACGAAATACCTGACTTAATAATTTACTAGTAATACATAGATTACGTTCATTGAAATCCAAAACGTCACAACAGATACGGGCATAGCGAACGAGTTGTGATATATAAACACCGTAAGATTGTGCCAAAGTTTGGTTCTTTACAAAGTAAGATTTTACAAGACATCATAAAAGGTAAAAAGTAAAAGTAAAAATTGTCTGTTTTGTTAGACAATGTGGTCGATCTTTCAATTGAGCATTGGAAATAATATCATGGAGCGAAGGAAAATAAAAAGTTTAAACATAATTGCAAAATTAGAATAAATGATATTGCAGGTTTTGGAGTAAAAGTTTTAAAATTCCACATCTGATTGATACCACTTGTTGAATATATAGCACAGTTTATAGCCAGACTCAGTTAAAATCCGTCTAAACTCCATTTAATAGAAAAAACAAATAACACCTACCATTACCTTGATAATATTTTTTGCTTTTGATAATCATCTATTCTCTCATATGCAGCGGAAAATAACACAAGAGACATGACTTTAAATAAGTCTTACTAGTATATAAACAACACTTATAGTCCTTTTCAGAGATATGGACGTTTCAGTTGAACAGTAGAAACTTTCAACAAACTTTACAACAAAAGACACAATTTTTTGTAAATTTTTAATTTTCAATTCTAATAGAGATGTTTTTTGTCCCTTCTTACGGTGTGAATGCGTGTCTGAAGTGACGATCTAGACTTAAATAAACGAAATCTATGTATTACGTAAATTATTCTTAATCAGGATTTCGTTCAACAGATTATTATAAACCTTTACTAAATTCTAGATACAATGATGTGGTTTTGAGGTTTGGCTGTACCTGTAGAAAACCTTATTACAATTGTAATATCACATTCTAATTTATTCAGAGATATGGTAGGAACCGTTACTGTGAATTCATTATTAACAATTAATTCATGTTTTTTCTGTAATAACAATCCTGTTGTTGGGATTTTTAAACTAATACAATTCTTGTTCTTATTCTTATTGTTCGTATAATACCAATTTTGTGTGAATTTCGTAGGTATAGGTAAATCTCGAATTTAAATATTCAACGAAATACAAATTTTCGATAGACTTTTATTGAGACTTTGGTAAAACCACGAAATCAAATATCAACCAAATTGCAAAATATCCTCAATAAAAGAAAATTGATATCCACGAAAGAAAATGAATCCACAGTAATGAAGAAATGGTCCATAAAAACTGACACACCCTTTGATTAAGTTCAATCTGAAACGGTTATCATTTTAACATTGTAAAACTATCTGTGAATATTTTCTTCGCCGGACTAACATTGATTTTATTTTTAGTAAAACAACTAAATATGTATGGCTGTACTGTTATGACACTTTTAGTCCTTCATCCTGTCGATACTCATGTGTTGCCTTCCTCCCCCCTTGCACAGGTTCATACATTTGTCATATTGTTTATGATGTTCATGAGCATGTCCTGATGCCATAATTATTTGTTTTATTGTCTCTAGCATAATACAGACTGTTTGTTTTAACTTTTGAATTAATTGCCGAGGCCAAGGCCTTTTATTTTTTGTTTTTTTAAGAAATGTATTATAAATAAAGGCATCAGTAGTATACCGCTATTCGAAATTCATAAATCGATTGAGAAAAAAAATCAAGACATGTGATTAAATAATAATCAATTGAATATCATAACCGCAGTGCATGAAGACAAAAATAATTATTCCTTTCATTTATTTTGATGATTCCATGACATTAATTGCACAAATATATTTTTTGGATTTCTTAAACCTTTAATAAAGACAATTGACTTGTTACAAGTTTGGTCCATACTGAATAACTAGTAAGTCCCGAATAGAACAGTATATGGCAAACTTAAACACATTAAACGTTTCTGCAAATAATAAAAATGATATATACGAATAAACATAAACAATAAAACCTGACTAGCTTGTTGAAACCAGCAGTTATGACTTATATCTAATATAGACTATTCAAGTCACTAACATAAACATAACTAAATACTAACGAATAAATTTCCTCCATGTGAAAAACTAACACCTAAAGTCTTAGAGGATTTACTTTATAAAATTTTAAGGAAGCCACTGTAATTGTAAATTTTTGGTATCATTTGTGTGAACATTGTTTTCACCTATAACAATAAAAAAGAATTCCTTCGTAAGTTTTCCTTTGTACCTGTCTACATTTCTTTAACCAAAACTTTCGAATATCATCTTATCAATTTGTCATGTCCTATAATATCTTGTTTTTCTTATGTTCATCATGACTGTGGTAATTGAAAGTTTTTAATGAAGCAATCATTTAACGTGTTTGTTTAAATAGTTGTAATATCTTGTAACCTTTAACATGAAAAAAAAACATGTTTAACGTTGTGCATGAAATTATAAAAGATTGTCTCTGATAGAAACCGAAAGAGAGAAATGGCTATTTTGGGAAAATGAACTTTTTTTGGGAAACTCCAACAAGAGGTGAAAGACAAACCAATATATAGTCCCTGAATCATTGGTGAAGCGGCGACTAATTATGCCAAAAAATGGGACCGAATCCCCGGTTTCTGAATTCTGAAATACCCACATGCAGATTTTACATTTTTGTAAATTAAGATTTTTAAAATGTAAGTGTGACGTTATGAAATGAAAAGAGGATAATGATGTAGTTACTAGACTCATGTCGCCGAAGGCTATATTGCACAATATGCATGATATAAATCGCATGTATATATAGTTCTTTCAGTTGAATGGTTAAAAGGTAGAAATTATGATATAGCATAGTTCAGATAAAAAAACAAAATATCATACCGATATCCAAACTTGGAAAAACCCGATATTTAGTGTTATATTGGTAATGTGGAACCACACATGGTTTTTTATTGCCTTTTGTTCTTTTGATTTTTTGGTAAATGTAATATAGTTTGAAATACATCATATATTTGGATTCCCAAAATGTTTGTGTGATGAAAATAATTCCGTCGTGTGCACTGAAACCGGTATTACTGTGGATTCATTTATTTTCGTGGTAACACATTTTCGGTGATTGATGAATCATTGTGTTTTGTCATTGATTTGCCAAATTCTGCTTTCAAGTCTATAAGAAATTTGTACTTTGTTTAACCCTTAAATTCATGGTTCATCTTTTCACTCTAAATCCACAATGGTTTTCTTATGTACAGCATCCCCAATATCCTCTTTTCATTTTTACTGTTCAAAATGAGTTATGAACACTTTTAACTTAGTTACAAATTAGTATACAAAGAACAAAGAACAATTATGAATTGAGATAATTCACTTGTGGTGTCTAAAGAAATAACTATTGGTGACATTTTATCTTTGGCGTATATTTTTTCCTGTACATTTGGTAAACTATTTGTATATTGAAAATGTACGTACTATTTACATCTTGAGTTCGGATCAACAATGTTAAAACTACATCTTTGCATTACAAATTGATATGTTGCCCTCAGTGGGATTATAATTCATTCTGTTTAATATAAAAGACTTCCTAAACCCTCCCCGATTAGGAAGAGACCAATCAAGGTAACGAACAAAAATAATGGGAATCACATGAACTTCAAAAGGAGCGAGACCGGGTGCGTAGACAGGGTAAGCGTCTTCTACTATACATGAATCAGATCTACTGGCTCCAATGTATATCCTAAGTCGACCCAATGTTAATATTTTATAAATATACCCTCTTTAAAACTGTGTTTCAATAAAACCCCAAAATATTGGTAAAAACATACAAAAACACTATATAAAATAAATAATCGCCGTATCAATAAGTTTCTTGTGTCATGTGTTGCTGTCTTCAATGCTGTGGAGGAAATGATACAAATAAAAATTTTGAGTTTAAAATTTAATATAAACCCCAGTTCTCAAAACTTGGAAGAGATAAAGTGCTTTCATTTTTAATTTTATGATGTTTAATTGAAATAGACAATTCCTGCTATTTCCCGAAAATTAAAAAAATATGACGGATATTGAACTATATCGTAAATTGTTATATCATATACAGCACTTTTCCATACACAGAAAATCAGGAAAATTGTCTAGCACACTTTTTTTTATATTGTGAGTTTACGTAAAGATTTCTTTTCACAAAACATGTATATTCATAACAAGACACGTACACTGCGTGTAGGTCATACATTGAATTTACATGAAAGACATTTGCATAATATATAAAAGAGATGCATTCAAAGAAGTAACACCAGACTTACAAACAAAAGGTATACACATAATGTTAACATTTATCCGAGATGAACAGTCCAGTTCATAACAAGTCCCTCATTTTGAGATACTGGAACGTTTCCCAGAATTCTGATGGAGATATATTAAAAAGAAAATCGCTTTCAAGCACAAGAGTCATTGCCTCTACACTTTGTTCCATTGTTAATGATTGTCCTACAGGTTTACTGAAATATATTTAAAAAAACGTTCACAACAATTATTAAAAATTTACATCCGACGTTATGCCATAATTAATCAAAATATTAATATCATGATATAATGTATACTATCCAAAATGAGTGGCATTCTCTAGCATAAAAAAACAATGCTTTCTTGTGTTCATATGAAGCCACTGTGTGTAGAAGTAAAATTTTAAACTAAAGTGTGAACTGCTACTTTATATCAAATATAAAAGTGGTTTTGAAAATTATTTCATATTCGCTATGCCACTAAAAATAAATAAGGCGTTAAAGGCTTCATGGAATACGTTAAAAATTATTATTTGTAGTGTTTTTTATATTATCAAGATTAATTATTAATTCCTATTTCTTCAAAGGACTTTTCTATTGGTCACTGTTCAGTCATAGGCAATACTAAAGGTGTCCTTCGAGATTTTTTTTATTGTGTATAATGTTTATTATGTATTACTGCAAGTGTACTGTCAGTCCACGATGTTACCATCCGCCCATGCAAAAAGTGTATTTCGTTACTTTCATGATTTATATGATATATTTCATCAGAAATTTCAATATATAAAATCTTTCAATTGTGCTATAATACATGCTTTTGGTCACGTGCATTCCAGGCGCAGGTTATTCAGGAAACACGTATTGTGCAAACGAAAATCAAAGGATTTATCATGGCTATTTAACTGTTACAGTATGTTCGATGTTCATATATTTTTACACTCCAGTTTTGTCAAACGTTTAGACATAATAAATAACCCTAAGTTCGTTGCATTCAATAGATCGTTAATACTTTGAATACTTTTGGTAAGATACTTACATCTGTGATTTGTCAGCCATGGACAACAATGATAATATTCTGGCTTGGCAGTATGTTGCAGAATCTGATTCGATCCTTAACTCACAATTCCTGGGATAAAACAACATCATCCCAGCACTGAAAAATTAAACAGTCGTTATAGGGAAACACTGATGAACGTTAACGCAAAAAGTTCTGATATAACAGTATTACACAATGACAGTAGGGCCCTCTGTGGCCGAATCGGCTAAGAAGTTACCACTAGCCTAGCAACACTGAGATTGTGAGTCCGAATCCCGCTCGTGGCAGGTGCATTCGACTCCAATTTTAATTAATTAGGATAGTCAGTTTTCCTGTCGAAGGTCGGTGGTTTTCTCCTGGGCGTCCGGCTTACTCCATCTATAAAAGGTGGCCGCCAAATGAAGAAAAGAGGGCTGAAACTGGCGATAAACGCAACAAAATTAATCAATCAATCGTGAACAGGACGCGTCATTGGTGATCGATTCAATATAGCTGGCAAATCAAAGAATTAGGAAGTTTAAGAGAACTGAAAACAAATTAAAAAGTTGTGCCATATCTCGATAAGGCCATTTATGCTTCGGTGTGCGAAAACGTTGGTGTTTCGAATTATTATATGAACAGTAAATTTCAATGACAGTCTCAATGATATTTTATGTCAGAGCTGTAGTGCTGACTTTTCGGCATGTGTTACTTTCGGTGACGAAATGTTCAACAGCTGTGGCATCGACCCAAAGGTTGGCAAAACTCATAAAAATACCAGCTTATAATTCAATATGCCGGACATGTTTTAACTACAGAAGACTACTCAGCGGCGCCTGAGTCAAAACAGTTAGAAGCTTAAATTCATTAAGTATTGAGATCCAAAATTACAAAACGTTAAATAATATCTGGTTAAGACTACTAATATATATGCCTGGGGTAGAATGCAAGTTTTATGAATAGTAAATATTACCGAAATGATAATGCATGTCAGCACATGAGTACAATACTGGATAACAATATGACTATTTTGATCCAAATATGAAATTAAAACGTCGCTGCATTGATTTAAAATAAACATGTCTCGATTGAATATATATTTTACCACAACACTGCTTTTCTTTCCGAAATGCGTTGAACAGGATCATCTAGTACCAAACTACGTAGAATCCAACACAGACCTCTTTGATAACACCCAGGAAGTTCTGGTATATCTGAGTTTTCATAATGTGGACGACTGATGGACGATTGTGGAAAAGTGTCTCCATCACCAATAGGTCTTATTAAACCGTAAAACATCCTGCTAACTGCGTATGCGTCTGTCTTGCCATAAACTTGCTGGAGTGTTGTCATCTGTAAAATAATTATAAATAAACAACCAATTGCAAACATACGTTAAATCTGAACTAACATAATTTCGTTTAATAATATGGAGTTGTAAATGCAAGCAATGTATAAAAATACAAATGGGTGTGTAAGTGTGGGTCTGTTAACTTTGGAAGAAATATCATCTGAAACCACCTGCCAATTGAAACCAAATTTAAACTTATGTACGATTCATGTAAAATCATTGATTATTTTAATAAACTAAATAGGTATTGCCATACATTTATGAAAAATTATGGTCCTACACCCTGTTGATATAATATACTTATATTTAAGAATTGCACAAGGTCATGCTTTACTCAGATTGTTTTTGGCTTCTTAAAATCAAATCCGCTGGATGTGTACTGATTGATACTTTCATCTGGGAGAACATTGATTTATTTATTTAGATGTTATTGGCTTTGAACTAGCTTTCAGTAACTGCGAGTATCTCTTAGACCGGTACTTTGTAAATCTTATCATTATGCAGTTATAATTGTGCTTTGTATCGATCTGATGAGTCATTTCCGACTGCTTTGTATAGTTATGTTGTGATGTTACACACTGTCCTAGGTTAGAGGGAGGATTGAGCACTCATTATCATTTTTAATCCCGCCACATTGAATATGATTTTTTCGTTTGAATTGTTTCCGATTTTGTTATGTCAAGTCCTATAACAGTTGACTATACAGTATTGGTTTTGATCATTGTTAAAGGCCGTACGTTAATCTATATATACTTAAATTGATAAACGATCAAAAAATAAAATGAGCATTTTGAGGGTTTTCATAAATTCACAATGTCTCCTACCATTTGTAAAGTTTTCATTGAATGGGTTTACACTTATATAGAACAAGCCTTAACTTTTTATTAATGTATGTGGGAATTTTTATCATTAGTTGTGTCAGAAAAACAAATGCAGGCCCAATCCGACCCTTGAAAAATAAATTTTTATGTCCAAGGACCACAATTCATGCAAAAATCACTTAACGGAAACAAAACTCAAAAAGGAAATGTATGATAGAACTATAAACAATATAGTCAATTTGATCCAGGCATTGTTGGAAAATGACAGGAAACTGATGTTTATTAGTAATTTCTTTTGTCATTGACTAAAATTTCCACAAAAATTGCCTTACATCAACAAAACTGAAACCTTATCTGTAACTTATTGAGATATGACTACATATCTAATACTAGAAAATTGATTCAAGCATAAAAACCCGACGGAATCTGTACCTTCTTATCATATGACTTTTTACCAAATATCTACTGAATTATATTTTCAAGCAACTCTTTATTTTCACAAGTTATAATTTCGACAAAAATTGATTTACTAGAACGTAGTTCAAACTCAATCTGTAACTTCTTATGATATGATCAATACCAAACATTTAATCAATAGATTGACGAATTACGGGGTGGGGGAGATAAAAAGTATAATTCCGAAATCGTATCATTAATTTTGAGTATTGTGATGAACGTTTCATCAGTAAAAATCTGATTATAAATATCAATACTGTATTTCAAGGTGATCTATACAGGGTCCTAGTAGCTTCCAATTTGACTAAGTAAACTATTCAGACATACTTCTTCATTTCTATCGGTTGGTGATCCTCCTCTACTAAATCTTGTCAGTTCTGGTGCCCAAGCATGACTATTTCCAGCAAACACTTGTCGTCCATCTGTCAGTGTCACGGGACTACCATCTGGATACGTTAATGTCTTAGCAAATCCAAAATCAGTTAGGACCGGTCGTAGGCAATTGTCTAGAAAAATATTGTCCGCCTTGATGTCTCTATGAACAACACCATTTTTCTGGAGATGATGAACTGCAGATAGTATCTGATACAACAATTGAAGAATAAAGTTTGCACTAAGTCCAAAACATGGCTCTGAAAATGCTGATCGTTGTTGTATCATGAAAGATTTTAATGTTTGTGGATATTTGTCCATGACCAAAAATGAAGTTCTGTTGGCCATTTCAATTGGAACATCAATTTTCGTTGGAATCAATAGATTCATGAATTTCTTAAATCTATCGGTAGCGCCCATATAAAAATGGCGGATATTAACAACGTTCGGATGGTGTGGAAGTCGGATTGGGATGTCATGTTCAGGACCAAAATTTTGAAGTAAGAAATTATCCATGCTATGTCCCTCTCCATGTTGATTAGCCTGTAGATTGATAAGATTTGTCATCATCTGCAATATAAAGAAAAATATAAAACATGATATAACCAAGGAGGAGTATCGAAAAAACTGTATTACCTGGACCATCAATATACCAAATTCTATGGCACAATACAAGAGCGAGAGATACCTCTTCCAAATAAAAGAAAATAGAAAAAAATAAAAAGCATTATTACAAAGATATGTAAAGGGACAACATTGAAATTAAAGCTTGAGCAAACTGGGAACGATTCCAGATAATTTAGTATCTAGGTTTAAGCTGTACTTGTATCATTGACGAGTGGTCGAAGTATTTAGCCAAATTAGTTATGAATATGAAGGTAGTATATGTAGTATATGTATGTAAGTATTTCAAACAAACAAACATGATAGTAGAAACTCAAACAATTTAGTGAAATGTATCATGTAAAAGAAAGGTGTTCATTTATGACACAATGTACCTGCACGTACTTTACTGAACTAAATGCAAAGGAACAACGCATTCAATGTTGTACATCTAAATCTACAAACCGGTATCGTTTGTAGAAACTTTTACTTAAACAAATTGGTATAATCAATAAAATGAGCTTATGGTCTCCATTAGAAGTTGATTCCAGTTATAGCGTTTCTAGTCATGAAACATCTTTATTGAGATGAGATTTATTGCTTCGTTTTGAAGACAACACTAATACATGTAGATGAAGAACAGCAATACATGCGCTGTAGCTTTGATATAAGTTTAGTGCAGACTGTGTAGGAATGTTTTGTTATAATTAATTATCCGAAATTTTGATTTATTGGAACAACTGTTCCTGGTGCTTGGTTATATCATCAGATGAAGTACAATGAATGTAACAATAGGATCTATATTACAGATACAAATATTTTCAAAGGAATGGTAGGAAGGCAACACATGTACAAATGATTGCTTTGGAGTACTAGGAAGGCAACAATAGCTAGGACAGATATCACATGTATAAATGTAGTCTCTATTTCAGATTTAAGCATTTATTTTTAATTATATTACTATACATTTTATGAAAGAATCTATTAATAGTTTATGATATTCAAAATTATTTCAATTAGATGACCTTATTTGGGGGCAACGACGCTTTAAATTGAAAAGATTTAAAAATACAAAAATAGATAATGACCTTGACAAGTACAAGTTCTCGGAATACATTTATTGTTTCTGGTATAACAAATTAATTCGCAGAACATGATGAATAAAATTTCTCCGAAGTCATCAAAAAGCAGAATGAATTAAGAAAAAAACAACTTGTGGCATTTCTTTATTTTCATTTTGTTTTATTGAAAAGATGGTGTCTAAGCATATTTTTGCAAATTTTTTAAAAATTGATTAATGCCTTTCAGACTTTGAACGATTTAGAGTTTGTAATTTTGTAAAGACGCCTGTATATTGTTAAAAACTATATATATTTATATGTTTTGCCGTTTACAACACAAAATCTGCACCAGATAAATTTGCAAAAAAGCTACGACTGGTCATATCAATCTAGAAGCGTTATCAATTTCGTTTTTTAAGCTGACATTTTACCATTTCGGTTTGATTTTTTTCAATTTTTTTTGTCATAAATCAACATGTTACATGTATCATCTTTACACGGAAACTAGGAAGTCGACTACAAAATATTACTTTAATGATAATGTCGTCTATTAATATTAATGTTATCTCTTTCCTGAATAAAGTTCCTTTTAATTCATAATAATATGACATTTGAAGGCGTGGGTAATTATTTATGTACGACTGTTATATATTAAGCTAAACTAGTTACAGTGTTACATCCGTAGTTTTTTAAATTTTTTAAAGCAAATTACATTATAATGCTTTAATTGAAAATGATGGTTTGACTTATATCGTGAAACTAGATTTCTAAGGAAATATGGGTTATACGCCAATTAAACAGCAGCTCAACAACAAAATAAAATATAAAAAAAGACATCTAGAGGTCAAAATACAGTATTCAACAAAATGAAAGCGTCTGGGTTATATAATAACCTATAAAATCAACACGAATACAGAAATGGTTGGGGAAAAAATTAACAGAGACTAACAACGAGCGCCATCAACTCCAAATTCTTTAAATGAAAAATATCATAGCAGCTAAAATATTGACAACCCTTCTTATTTTGAGCCAAATACATAACTAAGTGGCGGGGTAATCAACTATCACCGGTTTTGTTTTTATCTCAAAGGTACATACTTGTACAATATATCAATCCAAAAACCACTTATCTCTACGATTTCAGTTCAGGTGTCTTTGATTAGTTTTTACATCAACTGGGTCGATAGAACTGCTGATGAACGATTTTTCCCCGAGCGTATCACAAGCCCAGCAGTCATATATTTGAATGTTGACATGAAATATCATATATATGTTCATTTTCTGAAGATTTACTGTTTACACAATGTTAAATTGTTTGAAACATGCAGGTTTTTCGACCCCCTGCATAGATTGCCATAGCCGTATATGGCACTACGTGTCGGTGTTTAATGCTCTTCAATATTGTTTTTGGTTTGGCCTTCCAACTGTTTGATTTTAGCGCCACTGATGAGTCTAATGTAGACGAATCGCTTTTCTTGGGGTAACAAAATTATAGGCCTGAAATCCTTGATGGGTTTATACAACCACAAGGTCGATAAAACTGCTGGTGGACGTTTCGTTCCCGATTTTATCACCAGCCCAGTAGTCAACTTTGTGTTGAAATAATATATCATTGATGTTTTCATTTTCTATACTTTTAATATTTACAATAGTTGAAATATTCGAAACACGAAAGTTTTTTTACCCCCAGCATAGATTGCATTCGTCGTACTTGCCTCAACTTTTCGGTTTTTGATCTTCTTCAACTTCGTTTTTGATTTAGCCTTCCAACTGTGTCAATTCTAGCGCCACTAATGAGTCCTACGGAGAAGAAACGCGCATCTGACGCTCCAAATTATAAGCTTGGTATCTTTGATGATTTTAACAGGCCATAAACTAGTAAACAATACTACAATTTCTTCTCTTATGGATAAAGTCTGTTATTTATCCCGTATGAATAAATATTTCTCATATCACACTGAACCGAGAGTGATATGAATAGGTGATAAGTATTAAAGGATATTTGCAGTAACAATTTGCATAACTTTCTGGTTTGCCCCCATTTGTAAATAGAAATAAAATGTTAAACAATGCTTTTCATTCTTGTATGAATCGACATTTATTGGAAACAGATTTATTTACACGAGGAAGTATATCATCATATCAATTTGATTTAATAGATAAAAATACACAAAAAATAGGACTCATTTCCGTATATTCAACAGTAAAAAGTATCATTATGATTATCGACAGTACATCTTTTTTATTATAGGGAGGCTCTCCAATTTTACCCAGTACTAAATTCTGTTTGAAAACGTTTCTATAATGTGTCCACAACTGTCCCATATAAACGTCTTTGACACGAGTATTGTGTGTCGTTTCACTTTTGCTTCCTTATTGATATCAAAATACCAAAACAGGTATTATGTTTAAAAAATCTTTGTACAGTTCTGACAGGTATTATGTTTCAATAATCTCTGTACAGTTCCGACAAGTATTATGTTTCAAAAATCTTTGTACAGTTCTGACAGGTATTATGTTTCAATAATCTTTGTACAGTTCTGACAGGTATTATGTTTCAATAATCTTTGTACAGTTCTGACAGGTATTATGTTTCAATAATCTTTGTACAGTTCTGACAGGTATTATGTTTCAATAATCTTTGTACAGTTCTGACAGGTATTATGTTTCAATAATCTTTGTACAGTTCTGTCAAGTCTATTTAAGTCCTTTTGAGAACAATCTATAGAAACCATATCGAACCTTTTCAGCAAAATCACATTATTATCAGTAATAAAACGATGGAGGTTGCTTTGTGGATCAGTAACAATACTGTATGTTTGAAACGATAGTGAGTTCTTTGATGGACTTTCACAGTACATAATTCATAATCAGAGAGATAGTCCTTTGAGGATCAATCAGAGTACTATGAGTATGAACCGATTGAGGGTCTTTTGGGGACCAGTCACAATACTGTAAGTATGAACCGATAATGAGACCTTTGAGAACTAGTAACAATACTGTAAAAGAGAGGCGAAAAATAACAAAGGGATATTCAAACTCATTAGCCGAAAACAAACTGACAATACCATGGCAAAAAAGAATGAAAAACGATCAAAAGACAAACAGTACATAAAACACAACATAGAAAACTAAAGACAGAGCAACACTAACCCCACCAAAAACTGGGGGTGATGTCAGGTGCTGAATAGTATGAATATATAGTGAGACCTTGTGGACTAGTAACAGGACTGTAAATATAAACGAATAATGAGTCTTCTGAGGACCAGTACTTTAAGTATATATTGATAGTTAATCCTTTGATGACTAATCAAATACATCAAGTAAGACCTTTGATGACCAGTCACGGTACTGTCCTTATGAACCGATAGTGAATTCTTTGAGGACCGAAAACAATCGGTAGTGAGTCATTTGAAAGTCATTTGCAGTTTATGTACGCATGAAACTATTAAGTCCTAACTTTTAATATAAACCACAACTTTTCAAGAGGACAAATATTGTAGTCTTATCCATGAGATATTTTGAATTGTATGTTTACCAGTTTGTCAATACAAGGATGTATGTTTTGTATATTTTGATTTCTATTGGATATCTATCTATTATCGATGTCAAATTAAATAGCCTAAATTACATTTTGTACTAAAGTTAATGAATATATATATGATGCACTAAGATGATACTTCAAAAGACTTTTATTGCATCCTTTTCGGTTTGGAAGACCTCCAACGAGAAAAAGAAAAACTCATAAAATTATTAATGTCAAATATTTTAACATTAACATCGTATTAAATTAAATTACTTTAGAATCAAAGCTCAATAAATAAAAGACTAAAACGCGGAAAGTTTACAAAACACTGAATCGCTTAAAGTGTGAGAAATGGTAATGGACTCAAAACTGCACTTTAA